TTTCTTTATAGAAAATATGTGTATATCTGATTAGTAGATCAATGAGAATTTTGTTGAACAAATAGAATAAGGCTTTTTTGAAAATAGGATTAATTATCTTGAAAAAAATGACTTGAAATCTGAATTCCTTGTTGAACAATTGGAAACTGGTTTTTTCAACAATTGGAGTAATTATCTTGTAAATAATGGCTTATAATGTTATTAAAGCCTTTTTGAGAAATTAGAAACTGGCTTTTTAAATAATTGGACTAATTATCTTGAAAAAAATGGCTTTTAATGTGAAAACCTTTTGAAATAAATAAAAACTGGTTTTTTCGATAATTGGATTAATTATCTTGGAAAAATAGAATTTTAATCTGAAGACCTTGTCAAACAATTATAAAATGATTTTTTTAACAATTGGACTAACTATCTTGAAAAAAATGGGTTTTAATGCCAACCTAACTTTCAATAACAATCAATTCTGTAATAATATCAATAGTATAGTTTACTTCAAATTGATTATTATGGATTAGACATAATTTCTAGTATTTCGATTTGTTATTTTTCCAATTATTTAATTATTTAAAATTATTAATAAGATAGTTAAACAGAATGTGAACAAGATTATAAATTTTCACCAAACAAAAGATAATGTGCTTAATCTTGTAATTGCTAAGATTTAGCTAGCTTATAAAATAATAATTGTTATAATTGTATGTAAAACTGCTCGTTAGAATGTTTAATGTGTATTTAAGACAAATGTTAAGCTTGTCTTGAGGGCTGGCAGTTAGTTGATAATAAATGTTAGCAAATTTGTGGAGATAATTAAATAGCATTATATTCGAACGAATAATGTGATGATGGAAATCAGATTATTGACGATGGGTGTAATGAATGTTAATTTTTATGTGGATCATTTTGTTAATTTTGCGATAAAGAATTAAATTGTATCATATGTGAACCAAATTTTAAATTGTTAAACAGTTAATGTCAACCAATATGCGGTGATAAAATAGCCATAAGTGGATTAGAGGAATGCGACGATGGGAATGATATCTAATATGATGGTTGTTTTGAATGCTAATTTTAATGTAGTTATGGCTGTAAAGTTTGTGAATTTGGCAAATGTTAAGATAAATGTAAAGTTGAAGAAGAATTTATAAATGGTTAATGTATTCAAAAGGTTCAAACCATTAATCAAACTCAAGATTATTAAACTGAATCATAATAATATGAATAGAAAATTGTATGTAAGAATAATTGCTTAGTTTGTGATGGGGATCTTTGTCTCGAATGTTAATCAGATTATATTTTGGAAAATAATAAGTGTTTCTCATGTGGAAATGGAATTTAGAATCAAGACGAAGAATGCGATGATGGAAACAGAATCAATTCTGATGGATGTTCAAATTAATGTAAAATTGAAGAGAATTGGAATTGCATCAACTCCTTTTCATTTTTTAGTTTATGTTTTCCTACTACTAAAATTTCTGTTGTATTCTTGAATTCAACTCTTAACATACAATATGTTAAATTATCATATACTAAAGAAGTTAAACTAGATTAATAAAATATAAATTTTTTAGATTTTAATCTTAATTCAATTAATATTGAACCTACTTATTATAATATCAGTATTTTTCCTGTAATTGAAATAGTCTCAAATGAGACTCGGAATATCAATTATGAATTAAAAATTTAAATTAACTAATAACCTGTCATAAAATCCAATTTTGGAAGTTAACGTCGATCTTATTTTGTTGGATGAAAACGATTTACCAGTACAACCATCGTCATAATAAATTGAATTAAGTGCCCCTTTAGTTTTAAATCAAGCATAAGTAGAAGTTTCTCAGAATTTCTAAAAATTTGGTTACAATATTATGCTTGCATTAGGAAGTTTCGCTATTTTTGCATTCCTTCTTGGTTCTCCCTAATAATTTTTAGAAATATTAGATACATTATAATTTTACTCATATTTGAAGTTTATAAATGTAGAATATCCAGAAAATCTTTAGATTTATTTTTAGTCATCTGAATTGATATCAGTGGATCCAATTTTATAATTTCTGGAAGTTAAAGAGTAATTTTGAAGGATTAGTTAGGGACATAATGTAATTTATATGTTTTGGGAAGTTCTATCATGTACAAAATTAATGCTGATTTAATAACTAAATATTTAAAGTTAATTTATGGTAAGTAATTGTATTCTTTTCTTTATTGGTGATTCTGAAAATTTATATGAAGTTTTGCATTAAAATTTTGTTTTACTACATATTTGTTTGAATTTTATTAGTTAACAATAGTTAAAAATACTTGAATGGTTTGCAATTAAAACTATATTAATTAAAATAAATACATAAAGAAATGTATAAATTTTGACAACCTAGAGTTTATAATAAATTGTTATTATGCTAATACTTGGGATTTAAGTTTCAAGGTTTTATTATATTTAACCTTTAACTAATAATCAGGAATCAGAACTTTATTCTCATAAATAGTTTGTTTGATATATTTTATCTTAGGGATAGTTATTATTTTGAGAAATTTTAGGAGCTAAAATACTAAAATTGATATTAAAGAATTAAGAGATTAATAGCATCAATTAACTATTGTATTAAAAAAGTTTACTTTTGTGTTAATTTTAATTGCAATGTAAGATTGCTCAATAGCATAGTCTATAATGCTCTCATTTTCCACCTGTATGTATATAGGTTTTATAACGATTACTAAGTTTACCAATACAAAATTAGAGTAAATTAATATCTTGTGCGTTGAGCTTCCAGTATTATTATTTACATTACTTAATTTATCATTTTGTAAAGATTTTTATAAATTCATTTACTCCTGATTAAATAATTAAAATTGCCTTTTTATAAATATGTTGTTTAATGTTGGGATTATACTCTAAACTTAATTACCTATTCTACATAGTTTTCGAAAAAACTTAAATTAATTTATTTAAAAATTAGACCAAAATAAGGAAAAATCAAATTCCCTGTTAAGAATATTTTGCAAGAAGTCAAAAGCTGAAATAATTATAATAAAAATAGATATGTTGTGTTTT